TGTTAGATTTAGTCTATTGGGTATTGGGTTAATGGGCTGTGACCCGTTAACCATACCCATATTTGTATGCCTATATATATACATCCCTAACTATCTTAATATTTGAATTGAATTGGGGTTTTGCTCTTTTAAACACAGCATATACTTGGAAGTTTTTTCTTCCCCCTCCCACAGGGAAATTGCAACTACCTAATTAGTCTTGCAACTTTCATGCACAATAAAGACCTTCCTGATTCCAACTAGTGGTCTACCATATAACATTACCCTTCTAATAATTGTATCTCATTCATAAGGAGATATCAGCACATATATTGCAAGATATGAAACTAAAGGATGGGTTAATTGCATCTAGGAAGGCAATAGATCAGAGTAGGAGGATGAGAGAACTGATATACACATTATATTGGTAACATGTACAAAATGTATAATATAGTACATTTATAGCGTGATATATTTATAAGGACAACACACCACTGCATCAGCATTAGCAGAATAAAATAATAGTACAATTTTATTTTTAACATGTATGGAGGCTGATTGTAATCATCAAAAGATACACGTCCATTCATGCACTAGTAATAGTACACATGGACGAAGTATACGATATAGTACATTTACAATATCCTAAATCATAGAGTCAACGAACCAGTATTAGCAGAATGAAAGAATACAAGTACGATCCATGATTCTTTTTCAGTTTTCCTAGAGCATTTTAGATGATTATGATAGGTTCACGAGTTGACTTATTTATAACTTTTTCTGCAATAAATTAAGAAAATGTCGGTTGATGGTCAGTCAAGGTCACAAAATCCTTTAAAATCTTCCACGTCCTCAAGAATATGGAACTTATCCTTCATGAAATCTTCCCAATATGGTTATAGTCATAGCCAAACCATTTCTGCATAAAGGCTTAAATGAAGAATAAAAGCTCACTCGTGGCTGTCATGTAAGAAATATTAAATTTGGAAGTTAAATTCTACCAGCAAGTTACGCTTTCTGTACATAGGCCATTGTGCTGCTTAACCTTCCCAATTATCCTTGTCAAAGTATTTACTCCTCCCTAAATATGTAAAGTGAAGACTTAGAACTAATGATACTGTTGGTTTCGTCCTACTTGGTTAAAGTTGAAGTTTAGTAACGTATATCCATATCCAAATATTAATCGACTTAAAGATGGGTGTATCCGTTTATAACAACACCATTCTAAGCTTATTGAAAATTACTTGTTGGATACAATAGTATTAGATGATGCTGCCCATGCTAGATGAAGATCCTTGCTCTGCTGCTGTTGTGATCACTGATGCAAACTAGATAGAACATTCCTAATTGTCGCAACATGTATTATACGTCAATATGCGAAACATTTATTGCACTTGAGGAGCTCAGGAGAAGAATATATTCAGTTTATATAGAGGTCCACGGTGAAAGATAATATAAAGTATCATTTTGACAATCAAGGAAGTTGTAAAAAAAACGTTTCGAGAAATTCATCAATAGTTGCTATCCAATATCAGCATTCTCAATAGTTATCAACCCTATCAGAAGTTGCAGAAAAGGGAACTATCGTTTTTATTTCGAACAAGAGAATACAACCAATGTATAAAAGAAATTAAATCCTGATAGGTATTACAGATTCATTTTCAAAAGACAAACAAAATAATAAATGCTTGGAAGGATACATACCTCTGATGGACCAAAGAGACAGACTTTGAAGTTCCCATCAGCAAGAATCCGCAATCTATTACAACCAGCACAGAAATGCTCAGTCATTGATGTGATGAAGGACACAGTTCCACAATGTCCATCTATCATGAAATTCTTGGCAGTCTCTGTAGATTTATCACGAATCCTCTCAACATGACCAAACCGCTGTCTCTGTTCCGTACACATAAAAACAACTGAAGTTTAATATAATCAGAAGTATGCATACCAACGAACACACACATATGTTCATAAGAATTATGTGCATCAGTAAGAGTTCTACCTTACCACTCTATCCAACATCTCCGCATAAGGAACTAGCTTTTTAACATTCCATACATTTCCATCAAATGGCATAAACTCAATAAACCGGACATTTATTGGCTTGTCCTTGGTCAACTCTACAAAGTCACAAATCTCGTCATCATTTACCCCACGCATCACAACACAGTTAACCTGCCAACAGAACAGTCACATGAAATGATTGCTGCTAGTGACTAGAAAAAATCAAAAGACAAAAGTAAACAACAAGAAATGCAGAATATACATTTTCATGCAACTAAAAACAAAAAAATCCACCTACTTTAACAGGATTGAACCCAAGCTCAACAGCCTTGTTGATCGACTCCAATACCCTCTCATACCCTTTACGCCTTGTCATCAGTTCAAACTTCGCTGGAACCAATGTATCCAAACTAAT